GGTACGTGCACACTTGGAGATGTCAGTGGTGGCTATAGTTGGAGGTGGTTCCCAAAACCCTGGAGGCTTAATGAGATGCTGTTTGTTGTCCATCTCTGATGATTCTTTGACTCAGTTTTGACAACATTTGGTAGAGTGGTGGGGTCTCAGAGGGAAGAGAATCCAATGGGATTTGTGCAAGATGCGTGGGTGCTGGCAGAATTGGGGTGATGGAGGGAAGAGGTGATTACAGGGATGTTATTAGTCACCAGCCAAGCTGCACCAGGAAGAACCTTTCAGCGTGCCTCAGCCTGGGTGAGCGTTCAGCCAAGGCTTGTGCTTGATGAGACACGACTTCCCTGGAAAGGAGGCCTAACCCTGGCACTGGGCATTGAGGCCATAAACCCCAGGTCTGTTCTTGTTTGCTGTAAATCCTCTGGCTCCTTTGGGTCTTGGTTTTGGTGGGGCTGTTGCTGCAGGCCAGGTGGATGAGCAGGAGCTGACATCTGGCATGGCCTGGGCTGCCTCACCAGCCAGTGGGGTTGCTTCCTCTGGACTCACCCCAAAGGTCTCCAGAGTGTGGACAACATGTATGTCAGCTACATGTGCAAAAGCAGGCTGGGTTGGGAGGATGTACAAGGCTCAAGCTCCTCTTCCTTTTTGCGCAGTGTCTCCACCAGAGACAGGACAGCAATGAAGACATTTAGTCTGACACACCCTGTGGTCCTGTTTGGACCCTTGATGAATAAAATAGGGATATAAGGTATAGCCGGTCCTCTTCAGTATTGTCTTTGTCCAACATGAGATAACCTAAACTGGGTCAGCTATGGGTACGAAGACCCACACATGCAGCTGCAGATGTGTATTCTTGCTAAATGGCCCACTTCGAGTGCAGAAAACGTCACAGTCCCTCTGGCTCTGTGAGCACAGCAGGGAAGAGGCTGAGGAGCTACATCCATTGCAGCTGTGGGTGGGTGGTACAGGCATGGCAGGAAGAGAACACCAGTAGAAATCCCATGCTGGGTCTGGCATGTGGGGCTGTGAATATTTGCCAAGGGCTGCCAGGGCATGAGATGAGGAAAAAAACTGCCTGCCTGCTGGAAAGCACCGCTCCCATGTGTGATTAGCATCCTCTAAGGTACTAATTTATCTTCTGTGTCACCTCCATAGTCCCAACTGTACTTTTAGAGTTGGAGGAGAACCTGTTTCATTACTTGCTAGGCTGCTGCACTTCTTGTTTATTCCCCCTAAGGATAAATAGTAGATGTGCCAAAGCTCAAACTTAAAAAAAACCCAATAAATAAATCCGGACTGGAAGCAACCACTTGGAGGTAGAATAAGCCTCAACAAGAAAATGTTTGTCTTCCACCTTTTCCTGAGGCTGGTTGGGTGTAAAGCACAGGGAGAAGACATGGCAAGGTTTGCTTTTATTTAATTTAAAATGTATTCCAAAGGCAGAACAGTTGGAAATACTTTTTTGTTGCATTTGCTTTGCCAGGTTTGGGTGGGGAAACCCAGCTGAAACCCTTGCCTTGGTGGATGTGGGATGGAGGCAGGAATGCATTTATTCTAGTTATTTACCTGTTTTTACTGGTGAGGTCTTGAGGTATAACAGCAAAGCTGCGGCTGCACTGCGGGCTGCGTGCAGGCAAGAAGAGCACTTTCCACTCCAAATCCTTTTTCCCGGCACTAACAAGATCTGCACTGAAGATACATGATTGAGTCAGCAATGCAGATCCCATCAAATGTCTGCTTTATTCCAGTGTATGAATCAGAAGAGAGAAGTGTCAGAGCCTCATATCCTGTACCTCCTGATAAAAATGCAGTTACCTCAGAGGAAACAAAACACAGTAAAAGCCCATTATCCCGCCTGTAGCAAGCACCTATAACTCACTGGCACCAGCAGTGCTTATTTTATTGCAACTTTTGCAATAGCACATATAAATTATTCTTTTAAAATCCTACATCCTGGGGGCAAAAGATGGGGTTTTCTTTTAGATTTGCAGAAAAAGTGATTCAGCATGTCTATATGTGCACACATGGATATACGAATATATAAATATGACTGCGTTCAGGAGCACAAGCTGTTTGTGTCAACCCGTTAGACCAGTAAGAGCAGCGTGTGCCACTAATCTGGGTACTGGTTGCTTACTGTACAGGTTTTTCCAATGTACCATGCTCTTGGGGAGGAAGGGGAATTAGCTTCATTTGACTTTCCAACCATGTGTGTACCTCCAAAATCAGCTTCATTTCCAGACTTAAAATTTTATCCTTTCAGTTTGCTGGGAAAATCATATGCAGGAGTAAAGCCCTTTATCCCCAGGAGTTTTCTGCTTCTCCTTTGCAAGACTTTTCCATCCCTAACTGCTGGTTTTGAAGGCACAGACCACAGTCAGCTCAGTGACAGCATTTCCTTCTATTGTTCAATGGGGGCAGCTTCTGGCTCCCTCCACAAGGGTTATGCATGGCCACTGGCTTTTGCATCAGCTGCCTCTTTTCTTCTGATCCCAGGGGACCATCTGTGTCCTGTTCCTGCTGCAGTCGCGCTTTTGGACCTGTTCTGGGAGGCATTGGTGGGAAGGAATGAGACTTGAAATCATGTGCTTTATATCCCCTAAAAACAGATACAGCATTGCAATTTTGCAAAGCTTTGGCTGTATTGTCCCCAGGGGACATTGTGAAGTTGTTTAAAAGACACTTATGCTACTGTGGTAGTGGTGGAGGCAGAGAAGGACAATTTTCACCTAGATTCCTCTTTTGAGGGGCTTGTTTTTTCCTTACTTTTTTTCTGCATCGGAGTCTACAGAAATTGAGGTGATAAAAATATTTCTGTGGTTCCCCATCCATAGATCTGAGGGAAAACTAGTTCAAATCCACCACCCTAAGCTACATCATAAATCTTGCTGCAGAAATGTGGAGCCGAGATATTCATAATTAGGAGCTTGCACAATAAAGCACTGGAATGTTTCACGCATGACACAACATCTTTCAATCCAGCTGATGCTGTACAGAGATCTGTGTGAAAGTTCTGTGCAGCCAAGTTGGAGAAGTTTTTGCTCCCATTTGTGCCTTTTGAGGGCAAAGAAAATGGGAAGGAAAAATCAGGTTGTGTCCCAAACTGTTCACTAAGGCTCAAATGTGGGAGTTTTAAGGTCCTCCCTATTATAAAAGTGAGTGTGCTGACAGAAAAATGATGCAAATTAATAGTTCTCCTTTCCCTGCTTCCCATGTCTTCAAAACACCCCCATTCAGCCAAGCTGCCTCTTATCAAACTTCTAACACAGTAAAAGACAAAAATCTTCTGTTTGTGACTGAACATGAGAAATGTTAGTCCTCAGGGGTCCATGTCCCTGAGGTTTGAGGGATGGATGACAATAGCTTAGGGATGTGAGATGACAAATGTAACTTCACAGTTGCTCATTCATGCTCTAGCAAAGTTGTGTTCTGGGTGTTGGTATCTTCCAGCAACAAAGCTGTCTTATATGAATATTCTTCACCTTTTTTTTTTAATTTATTATTTATGCAGTTAAAAGTAATTGGAGGGCTGCTGGTATTTTGAACAACTGTATCCACCTCGGAAATTATGACCTTGCATTTATTCAATCAAATAATATCAAGATTAAGAGTGAAAATAGCTGAGCTTGTCAGTCATAAGGAACTCAAATCCATCACCTGAAATTAGAAGACTCTGGCAGGGTATTCTTCATTCATCAGCATGAGGCATCACAGCAAGATCATTTAACTGTAATTCATCAATTTACCAGGCTACTCAATTAAGTGGGGGCTGGAGAGAGGATGAAGGGAATGATTCTGCCTGTTATAATGAATCTTTGGCCACCTGAGGACTTTTTCTGCTCATTGATCTGTTGTGTTTCATGTTGCCTTGAAGGCCCAACTGGAGAACAGCCCAGACCAGTGATGCCCTGCCGCTAGCGACCCTGGTTTTTCATGTTGTCTCTGCATACTTTGTGCATGGGAAGACTTGCAGCATGCATCGAGCCATGCTGACTGTGGGAGGGGAGGGTGGGGGCATTGGCCATTAGCTGCATACAACCAGCTGTCACATGTGCAAATACAAGTTCTCACCCTGTGACTGTTAATGAGGAAATATGCATAGTAGTAATCCTAAATTGTGAGTGCAAAGTAGGTTGTTACCTGAGTATAGGCTGTTTGCTGTTAAATTTATATAAATCTCTCGACTCCTTGTGTCTTGGCACTAGCTTGGAGAAGGAGTGCTGGTTCCTGTGCTTTTTCCTTGCTGTGAAGGACAGCCTTGTGACTGTGAAAACTGCATGACACTCTCATGACTGCAGGGCTTCCTGAATCTTGATGCCAAAGCAAGACTTCAAATGGTGCATCTCTCATCACTCTTCCAAACCTTATTAAAAGGAAAACAATCACAATGGTGGTGAAAAGGGAGGGCTTAATGAACTAAAGGGATTAATGAATTAGACCTTTTCCTCTTACGTGGTTTGCCACTGACCTTAGCCTGACTGAACCATAGTCTGAAGAGGTCCTGGAGAACCTTGGATGGACTTCTGCAAAAAAAAATATTTAAGTTAAACTTTGTGCAGTGTGAAACAAAGGGATGGGCCTTTTCTGGCTCATCTCAGCTCTCTTCTCCCTGTGTTTCTGTAGTTTGACCCCAAACTGATTGGTGAAGCACTCTGGGAGCCTGGTGCAACCTCCAGTTCTACTATGGGTGGTCCTGTCTGGCATCAGCTGCTCTGAGACCTTGATTAGTGTTGTTCTAGTGCTGGCTGATGCAGCCCTTCATTAGTCTTAAAGAAAGAAGCTGGGGTAGAGGTTTCTTTATGAATGTGATATTTTTGACATTCACCTATTACTGAGTACATCCAAATAACTGACTTTTCCAGGTGGCTACACCTAAACATTTTGGTTTCTTCACTGTGGATAGCTCACTACTTAGGATCTCTGCTTGGATCCAGGGTGGCACTCCCTTGTTTTGCCCTAAAGATCATCCATCCGTGTCATTTTCTTGCAAAATGAGACTCAGACTCACCCAGGTTTCTTATCATTCCACATATATGCATGTTTGCTTAACCCAATCACTTCTGAACCTGTTGGCCTGTTTCAGTCAAGCCTGACAAAGAGATACAGGACTGCAAGTGTAATTGAGGTTGCATAAGTTAATGTAAAACAGACAGTCAGGCACAAGAAACAGCCCACATACTTACTGAGCCTTGGGGAGAGGTGCAGCTCCAGTCTGCATGAGTGGATATCAGACAGTCTCTATGAGGGAGAGATCTTCCAACTCAGTCATAAGATCAACTGGAGCCAATGCATGGTCCCCTTGTTGCCTTGGTAGACCCCAGTTCTGTGAATGGAGGTCTCTATTTGCAGTCAGACTTGTTTTCAGTTTAAGTGTGGTGGTGGTTTGGGCAAAACCAGCCCTAGTTAAAACTGGCTGGTGGTGGAGAAACTTCAGTGGCTTGGTGCGAGGTGGAGCTGCTTGCCCACTTTCTGTAGAAACACAGCAAGAAACTTCAGCAAGTCCAAGGACTCCAGATCATGAACTTTTCCTCCTGCCTGGCTTTATGTCCTATTTTTCTCTTTCAAAAAAAGCAATAGAAAGGAGAACTCATTTGAATTTCATAATAAAATACCTCCAAGGAGAGGAAGCAAACAGGAACTGTAAGAGGAATAGGTGGAGGTTCAAAACACATCATTTCTCTTGTTGTCCTTTGCACACGCACACATATTATACATACATGTAGCCATACCCCTTCATAGAATCCTACAATACCAGGTTGGAAGAAACCTCAAGGGTCACCTTGTCCAACCTTTCTAGGCAAAGCATGACCTAGACTAGACGGCCCAGCATGCTGTCCAGCCAGATTTTAACAGTCTCTGATGTTGGGAAATCCACCACTTCCTTGGGGAGATTATTCAAATGGCTGGTTGTTCTCTCTGGGAAAAATTTTCCTCTAGTGTCCAACTGGAATCTCCCCAGAAATAACTTGTGCCATCACCCCTTATCTTTCTGGTTTTTGTAAAAAAGGGAGTCTCCGTCTCCGTCTCCTTATATAACATGGGAAAACTAAATTGAAAAGGAGACAATACAAATCAGGATGAAAGGGAAAAAGAGGATGAGTCAGCTCTACTCCTGCCTGTCTGAACCAAGGGGAGCCTGGTGCTCATGACAGATTTTTTCCAAAAAAGATAATGCATCAGGCTAATGACAGCCTATGAGATGTGAACGCTATGACTGGGAGCGCTATGAAACTTGCGGGTAGGTACTTGAATGTCACTCACTGTGCAGAATGAAATGTAAGTTGAGTCGCAACAATTTCCCTAAAGCTGTGTGTATTAACATACAAATACCAAGGAAGTCAAATCTTTGAATTTTTATCTGCTTCAGCTTGAGAGTCAAATAGGCACATTACAGAAGTGTCATCTATTTGAATCAATTGTCACTGCTGCATTTGTGGAAAGGATGCATCTGGGTTTATTGATAACATTATTGAGGTGCTTAAAAACACAAGTGTGTTGGGTTTATTCTCCCTTCAGTAACTTATTCCTATTTCTGGCATTTTGTTAAAGTATTCTTTTAGTTCTAGACTCCTCTGGAGATCTCTGCTGAGCAGAACATTAGTAACTTTGTACTTATAGCTTTCTTGTAAATTTTAAGGTAATTTTGTTTCCCTGAAGAAAAAACCTGAAATGGAGAAAAGAATTTAGGAACTGTGATTTACTGACCTTCTAGTGAGGAGGCTTAGCTGCCTTTTTTGTCCTTTGTTTCCCTTGGTTAAACCACATCAGCTGAAATGCAAGTTAGCGGCCAAAACTTCCTGTTGATCTCCATCATAGCATCACTTCACCCATTTTACTTCCTCTGCTGCTTTGCTGATCACTGCCTGTGCAGAGAAGATACAAAATCAGTCTTACATCCACTTGAGAAAAATCTGTATATGAGGTTTCAGGTTTGGGGGCAAATATTTTAGGGTGTAGATGTCTCCTGCTTTCAAAGAAACACGGGGAAATTCTGCCTGGTGAAGGGACTTTGTGACTGGGATCTCTGAATTTCTGCCTTGTGCTTGGATGGTTTTAAAAATAACCTTTTAGGAGCCATGGCCAATGACTTCACCATTTTGACTTTTTTTCCGTCTTTATAAACAGTTCCTAAGGAGGTGGCGGCGAGGATTAGGTTTTAAAGCTCTTTGAAGATGGCAAGTGGTGTATAACAGCTCAAAGTTTATTAACGGCATGGCTTAATATGATGAGATTTTTTTACAGCTGAGTTCAGATATGCAAGGCTGGAGTTTCAGCAAGTTGAAATAGGCATTCCTTCATTGATCTTATCCCAGCTGCACTAGTTCATGACACCTGATTATCTGGCTGATCATACCTGGACCATGGGCTGCAGGAGGGAGCTCTCCCTGTTGTTACTCCTCTAGCAAGTTCTCCTTCCGCTGGCCTCCTGCCACAGCATATGCCACGTTTAAATCTGGTTCTGTGCTTTTGGCTTTGTTCCTTCTAAATGTTTTCAATTTTGTTGACTTTAACTGATCCCAGTGGCATCTTTTTATGATGCACTTTATTCCACTTCTTCTACTGCTTCAAGTGGTGCAATAACACTCCTAAAGTTCAACCTATTTTTAATTACAAAAAAGAAAAAAAGAAAAAGAAAGGCAAAGGGTTGTACTGTTCTGTCACTGGTGAGAGAAAGGGAAGGTTTTTATTATTTAAATTTGATTGAATTTACAACTCCATATACACAGTGGTTTTAGTAGAACATTGCTGTAATCAGAAGGGCATATTATTGTTTGTTCTTGCTCTCTTGGGAGCCAGTACTGGTACTGAATAAGCACTATTGTCATCTGTAGGATGATCTCAAAGCACTTCAGAACTGACAAGGTGAATGAGGAAGAATTGGAGAATGTCATTAGTTCCTTTATCGATAAGGAAGCTGAAGCGACTTCCTAGGGCTCAGACTGAGGTAATGATTACTGGCGACAAGAATTCCTGATCCATAGCAGCGTACATACTACGGTAGATCAAATCCCTCCCCACTCCAGCTGGAGGTACTTCCATGTTCATTATCTGGTTTGCCCCTCTCATTGACCTCTGCTTTTCTGTGCTTGCACCATAAAAAGCTTCATTGCTTGGTTCTGTTGCTGATGAGATTTCAAACTGATGTGCTGTGTTGGGCTGTGTGTTTCTGCAGAGTTTGTGCATGTAGGCATGAATTTATAGGGAGGGAGAGAAGGGATAGGAGGAGGACAGTGTGTGCGCAGGGTTGTGTAAGTACACGGTCCTCTCCTTCACTAGGTCCAAGCAGCTTGCATCCATCTCTGCTGAGAACCACAGCCATACTGACTTGGTTGTTACAGATCTGCTTTTAAGGAGATCTATGAATGACAACTAAATTAAAGAAGCCAATGTTTGCACAGCTGTCACCCAGCACTGAATGCATGGGTTTGCATTTAGGAAAAAACAGAAGAGAAATCACCTTCTTTGGCAGACTTAGTTCTTGATTAGTTCCTTGAACTGTCTTACTCTGTATGGAGTCCAAATCCCTCAGGCTGGGATCTACTTGGCTGTGGAGCTTCTCTGTGGAAAGTGACCTGGGATTCCTGGGGGATGCAGGCTCAATAGAATTGAACAGAGTGTGCAGTTCTGTTCAAAGAAAGTCAACAGGATGCTGGTGAACATCAACAAGGGCATCACCAGCAGACATAAAGATGTCATTTTCCAACTCTACTCAGTGCTTCTCAGGCCACACCTGGAATACTGTGTCCAGTTTTGGTCCCCACTGGAGAGGATCCAGAGAAGAACCACAAAGATGATCCAAGGACTGGGCACCCGTTTGAGGAAAGGGTGAGAGAGCTGGGCTTGTTCAGCTTGGAGAAAAAAGGCTCAGGGGAGACCTTATCCCCATGTTCCAGTATTTAAAAGGTGGCTATACAGAAGATGGAGACTCCTTTTTACAGAGAGTTCCATGGAAAAGATATGCAGTGATGGGCATAAGTTACTCCTGGGGAGATCCCAGTTCGACATAAGAGGAAAATTTTTTACCATAAGAACAACCAGTCACTGGAATAATCTCCCCAGGGAAGTGGCAGACTCCCCAGGGAAGTGGACACTTTTAAGCTCTGGCTGGACAGGGTACTGGGCCATCTAGTCTAGGTCATGCTTTGCCTAGAAAGGTTGGACCAGATGATCCTTGAGGTCCTTTCCAACCTGTAATTCTATGATTCATTCTTGCTATCACCAGTGCTAAGAAACAACACTGCAAATGCAAATGCCCATGGAAGTTCACAGGACTGCAATGAATACAGTCTACATCAGCTCAGTTTGCCCCAAAACTACACCTGTGAATATACTTTCACAACATTTGAGGCAGGACTGCAATTAGCAGGAGCAGTCCTGCTCCCCTTAGCCCACCTTTGCTTGCTGATTTTGAGCTTCCTTCATCCTGCTAATACCACACGCTACAGGCATGGCTGCGTGGGCAACTGAACTGCAGAAGTGATCTGTGTTTAAATGTTTAATGAATTAGTTCTTGCCATATTCATAAGTGGAACATCCGCTCTTCCTTTGCATGAGAATAGAAATTTTGTTTCAAGTTCTGAGAACCTGACGACATGCTGAATAGATAGAAATTGGTTCTATTTATAGGCTGCAGAATTCCTCTGTACAATAAACCAGTTTGGTTTAATTTAAACTATGTATTCAGCACATTCAGCTTAACTTTATTTAACTACAAGTTTTATGTACCTTTTTCCTGCATTCTAATTGTTTTTTCAATTTGTGTCAACTCCTAAGTACAATTAAAAAGTTAGACTAGTCATTAAGAAACTTCATTTACCATTTTTAACATGAAATGTGTTGACTTGCATAGTTTATTAGTTTTTATGAATGCCCAACAGTAAAAATAGGACAGCTTTCCAGTTTAGCCAGAGGCCTGATTTATGGAGAAATATGCCTTTATTGTGCTCCACCAGCAAAAGTCAGCCTTTTGTTACGGAAAAAAAAAAAGACAAAAATGCAAAGCAAGACAGTTTAAGTCAATCAGAATTGAAGTATTTTGCTCTCTGTTTTGCATTAATAAATCCTGTAGTCACAGGAGAAAAGGTAGGACAGTTGAAAAAGGATTGGTGGGCAAGTTAGCAAGTGTTCCTCAGGAACTGATCTCAAGACCAGTGTTAATCAGTGTATTGACTAATGATACAGCAGAAATCAATGGGATTTAGAGGTGTCACCAAAAGGGGAAAAACAGGACAACACATCAGAAAAATGAATGACTTTAGGACTATCTGCCTGTAGGCAAATGCAAGTTCTTTTTTTAATGTACGCTCTGAGAGACAGTTGGGGCTTCTGTCTTGGAATTGGAATGTATTAATCAATCATAGGGTAATTCTCATGTCCTGCTGATAAAGGTACATAATAGAACCACATTAGTCAACCAAGTTATTTCCACTAGTGACAAGGAAATGTGAATGCTACCACAACAGGTTTTAGTGAGGCATTGTTTAAAATGTACTATGTATTCCTTGTCCATGTAGGAGAAAGATTGATTTCAACTGTAAAAGGTGCAGGGGAGGGTGTCCGCTGGAAATGATCTGGAGAACAGTGGAGATGGTTCACAAAAAGGGAGCCTGGATGGGAAGCCAGTGACAAAAAAAGGCAGAGAAAAATTATATTCCTTCTCTATAAATACACTGGCATAAATACCACAGAGGGGGAAGAGTTATTTAAGTTAAATGACAATTCTGGCACAAGAACAAATGGCTCTGAGTAAGTTTAGGCTGGAAATGAGCAGAATGGCTTCAAACTAAGGGAGGTTCTTGAATAGCCTCATAATGGGAATTGTGCAACTGGGGCTAAAAACCCAATTACTGTGAAGATGGAGCCTGATAAATTTATTAATGAGATTACGCAATGTGGTTGACTTCAGTATTAGGGGATCAGACTCTGGGTTTCCGTTCCTGTGCTTTTGCAAATACACTTAAGAATCCTGCAGGTATGAGAAAAAACATACAAGGTTGTAATTCTGATAAATATTTTCATGATGATTCAGCTTGAAGCTGGTTTCTCTGTGTCTAATGCACTAATAACTGAATTGAGTGACCTACAAAAGGAAGGAAGTATCCTTTTTGCACTGGGAAAAAGAAGCAGCTGGCAACTGTTTCCCTATTTTAGTGGTCGATTTTGGCAGCAGGCCTGTACTACTTAGATATATATTTTTTAAAATTCAAAGCATTTTGGGTACATTATAGTAAAGTTAGGCCTTGAAATAGATTGTGCTCAAAACTATGTCAATTATTAGTTATTATTTAACTTTGTAGTTCTGCTTTTCAAAAAAACCTGCAGCACTTAATGGACACCTGTGATTATTATCGATCTCACCATTCTCTTTATTGATCCCCATTTCCCCCCTTTACTGAAAGTCCCAGATTCCTTGTCGCTTTGCTAAAATCACAATAAAGAAGACCAACTGCCTTTTTGTCAAAAGAACCTAGTTATTTTATCAAAGATGAGTGCCAAGCTATTTTAGCACAATGAATCTTTGATCTCAGGGTGCACTTTACACTGAGTATTTCTGTGCCTTTTATGTTTTGATTCAGACTCTGTTCTCAGGTCTTATCTGAAGCTGATTGCAGTGGCTTCCCTGAACGCTGCTGTCTTTAGCCCTCCTTCCTTCAGCAGAGGTATTATGTTGTAGAGGTCTCCATGATCTGGGAAAGATGTCAGTTGAAGCAAGCTGTAACAATGAGATGCCATGTGGCTACAGAAGAAAATCACAGATGCACATAGGCACTTTCAAACACGGGCTGTGGGACGAGGAGGTTCATTCCAGCATTTCATGGCTTTTATTGTGAACATTATTAGTTGAGGGATTGTGTAGACTTGTTAGAAGTACTAGCTAGCGGACTTGATGTTTCAGCAGCCTGAACAGAGGGCACTGAGCTGTGGGATTGATTTCTCCCTGGCTGGGCAATTGCAGGGAGACTGTCTTGTAGCCCACAATGCCTTTGCCCCTACATTCTACACTATCCTTGTTACTCAGCTGCAAAGCAGCATCTGTATTCAATCTGGGGTCTTGATTGTGACTATCTCCAATCTTCAGCTTCCTTATGTGTGCTATTTTATTTGCCTTCTAGATTCATGATGCAAATGGCAGATGATTTTTCCCCTTTGGTTTTAAGGTCCTCTCATTGGAGCCTTTCAGCCATTCAACCCCATCAGCTTATCAAACTCATTTCTTCAATTACCTCGATTTTTCTTTTTGAAATTGAAAACCTTAAAGAACTGCTTTTATTTTGCTTAAACTGAACCAATTTGTGAAAAATAGGCTTGAATTGAGTGATCACAAGCAGCTTTTATTACAACATCCTCACTGTTTGCAGAAAGTCTAGAGACAAATCACCTCTCGTTTGTTCAGTGCCTATTTTGTAAAGAATTCTGTCGGCTATTACATCCCAGACTTACAGGGCCTGCTGTTAGTATTTGTTCTTCCTTCTATATCTGGAATTTAAGACTCCTTTATCATTCAATTCCTAGTATTATTTTTTTCTCTGTCTAGTAATTTTTCAAAGCTCTCTGCACACATCCAAATCCAGCGGTGGGGTCTCCAGTGGACCTCTAACACAGTCCCAGCAGACAGCCTTTTACAGTCTTTCACCAAAGTGACTTTAATCCAGAACGAAGGTTTTATGCATGCTATCGCTTTGGATTTCTAGCAAACACAGATGATTCACTCAGTTCACAGAAGGAACCGCAGAGCAGTGTCCCAAAAGATTATTTAAATAGAGTTTTGGAAGCGGATTTGGGGTTATCATGGGGTGGTGTGCATGCTCAGGTCTGGCTCTGGTTTCGGGCTTTGAGAGTGGTTTTTTTTTAACCACCTGTGTACGTGCTTACCAGCCTTCTTTACTGTATGAGGACTATAATTCCTAACAGATTGGTTTTCAGATTGTTTATAGTCATGTAGGAAGAATTATCCCCAGTTTACATTGTGGTAACTGAACCTGGGCACCAACGGAACAGCTGGCTTAAGCACACAGGTCTCTGAAAGTGGAGTCTGCATTGCCCAGGTCTTCTGTCTTTTCAAGCACTGTTAGCAACCTGGGCTTGTTGTCAAGGCCCCTTAAAGTGCATGGACTCAAGGGTGAGCTGAAGTACTGGGAACTCTCAGCCTTGAGTCCAGCAGCCTGATGCAACAAAGCACATGCTTAAAATGATGCTTTTGTACTTCACCGAACTGCTTGTTTTGCAGTCACTTTTAATTTACGTTTAGACAGTGCTGAATGCTTAATTAAATAAAAGTGCTTTTAATAGACAAGAGTGTAGTGCCCAAGCTATGCTGCAGTTACACTATGTAGGTGTTTTGGGATTATGCTATACACAAATGAAATGATTATTTCTTTTTAACTCCTGTTTAAATATAGCTCAAACTACAGAATATTTAGTAGAACAGAATAAGCTGTTGCTTGCCAGCTTTTTCATACCAGTGGTTACCAGATGCTTCTCTGTTTATAAGCTCACCATCTGTTCCAGGGTGGAGTTTGGGGGTAGTCTAGGTATTTGGATGTGTCTTCTTTCTTGGGTATCTCTGGAAAACTTCAAAGGATCTGTTTTGAGATGAAGGGGAAGCAGGGTTAGCTGTAACACTCAAGGAATTAAAGGGAACTTTACAGAAATGCAGCTGATGCCTTACTGTAGCGGGGCTCAGAAGGGGAAGGAGCCTTAAGCAAAGAGGCAGCACTGGTATTTTGTGCCATTATTCAGTCATTGCCAAGATCCACTTGGAGTTTTGCTTGGCTGTCACCAGGCTGGGTTGCTGCTTCCTGCTTTGGATTGTGTCTTTTTCTTAACAGTCACTGAAATTTACAGGAGGATTGCAATATGAAAGTTTTGAAATTGATTCATGTGGATAAATGTTATTTACATACAGTTTAGAGCCAGGTTAACTTTTTGTTTGGTTGTTGCCGTAGAATGCCAGAGTTAAAGTCATTTTACAAGGGCATGTAGGGACAGCACAAGGGAAATTATTTGACAGAGGGGAGATTTAGATGAGGCATTAGGAAAAGGTTGTTCCCCGTTAAGGTGATTAGGCCCTGGCACACGTTGCCCAGAGAAGCTGTGGCTGCCCCATCCCTGGCAGTGTTCAAGGCCAGGCTGAACAGGGCTTGGAGCAACCTGGTCTAGTGGAAGGTGTCCCTGCCTGTGACAGGGGTTTGGAACTGGATGAGCTTTAAGGTCCATTCCAACCCAAACCATTCTGTGACTCACTGCCATGGATCTAGTGGTTTCCTCATGACCCAGCCCAGGAAGCGCTCAGTTCACTTTTCCTTGAAGGAATTCACATCAGGGGTTAATGGGTCTGTGCGCATACTACACCTTGTTAATCCCTTCAGCACGTACCTCACGCCCTCAGGCCTCATTCCTACGGGTGGTTAAACGCCTGGCTGTGGCTGCCCGGGTGAAGCCGCCCTTTATGGCAGCACCTCAGCGAGACAGAGCAGAACACTATAAAGGAACGTGCCCACCTTTAGGCGGGAAAAGCGCCTCCGCCCGGTGCGCTTGCGCAGTGGCAGGCGGGCGGGCTCTCGGAGGGGAAGGAGCAAGCGCTCCGCCTCCTCCACTATTTAAAGGGACGGAGCTGCCCGTCGATTTGTTACCCTTCCTCAGAGCCGGGAGAGGGCGAGTGGTAACGGTGGGAGCCCATGACGGTTTGCGTCCTTCTCCGTGCTAGAGACGGAGGAGAACGAGGGAGCTTCGGCTTTCCCCGGCAGGTTCGCGAGCTACGAATTTCCTCCTCCGTGTTTCTGCTCCCCACCCCTCAGCCCTTCGGCTCGCTCCGCCGCCTGCTCGGCTCTCTCCGCCCACCTTTCGGATAAGGCCGTTAAGTTCCGCCACCACTTCGGCAACTTCCGCCGGTTCGGTCGGAAATGGCCGAAGACGTGAGAGACCCAGCGGTTTAGGAGAGAAGACCGGCCGGCTTCTTGGAACAAACCAACTGTGTCCGGACCGGGGGGGGGGGGGAGTAGAGGAGGGCGGACGGAGTGGGAGGATAAGGCAGCGGCTATGGCTCCCCCCCCAGCCACTCGCGGAGGACGGCTCAGCGGGCGCCGGGACCGCGGCTTCGCAAGCAGGGTGAAGTGAGGGCGCCAAGAGGTAGGGTGGACCGTACCACGTACGGTGAGGTATGGGGGCGGTGTGGGAAAGGTGGGGAGAGCGACTCGCGGCGGTAACACACATCGCACACGCATCCCCCGGAGAGTCCGTGGGGCCGGGTGAGTGACGGGAGTGGTACAGCCCGGGGGAAGCCCTCCTGAGGCGGGAGGGGTGCCTGGCTTGTGCGTACCCTGAGGGGCAGGCTTGGGGGTGGTGCGGGATCCTTCAGTGCTAGGGACACTGCGATGGTCCCTCGCAGTGTGAGAGGCATTTCGGGTGTTTCACAGGGCGAGGGACACCGCCGCGGGGTCCCCACAAGGCTGGGGACTCTCATGGCGGGAGGGTTGCGGTGGCACCCGGCGCCCAGGCGCTGCTGATGGGCTTCAGCCTCCCCGCCTGGCCCCTGCTCTCCCTCCCGCCTCGCTGAACTCTCTGCGAGGAGCCGGGGCGCACCGGCCCGATCGCCTTCCTATCCCCCTGCGGCATCTCTTGCGCTTCGGGGGTTCGCCGCGTCCCCCCCGGCCAGCGCGGTCCCGTCTCCCGCCCTGAGGCAGGTATCTACGAGGGGGCTTGAGGCCTAGTGCCCGGTCCGGTTTCGGCCGTCACCGGCAGCGTTGACCCCGGCGCGCTTTTGCCCGGCTCGCAGGGCTGTCCCGTGGCTTGGAAACTTGACAAAGCCTGCGGCAGCGCGCTCCCTCGCACCGGATCGGGGCGTGCTCCCTGTTGCTGGGGTTTCGCCTTACGAGATGGCGAGGGTAGAAACGACGAGGCTGTTGTCTACTCAGCGTTCCTGGTATGCCCGTATAGCTCTCCTGTGAATTGTTTGCCGAAGTTGAGTTTCGTGTTGTTTTGTTTTTCCAGCTGTTTTCCCCATATGAGGTCTCTTATTGTTCAAAAGCATTGGGGTCTTTCCTCAGTCAAATGTTTTACCACTGCGGGACTAGTGCGTTGCTTCCGACTGCCTAACACCCTCTTATAATGGTCCCAAACCAAACAGTTTGGAGCCCGGAGGAGCTGGAAATGGTTAAAATGGTATTAAGGATTCACAAAGATGCTGAGAAGCACTCCAGATGTGCTGTTAGAATCTGAACATTCAGTGTCTCAGCGAGTAGTTTCTGATCTCTTTTCATGTGTGTGCCTGTTAAATTGTGTGCGTTGATATCTCAGTATGATAGCTTGGCTTTAAAATGCCTGGGTTCCTGTGCTGCAAGTCTAACATCTGTATGAAGAAGATTAAATGTTTGTTTCCTGAAAGGAGTGTCACATGCAGGTGGTTATCTTAAAGATATTTATGTTTTCATGGAGAAATATATTATGTTTAAGATAGCAGGGTTCTTGAAATGTGGGGTGTGTTTTGTACATTGTTGGGCTTTATCAAACAATGAGTAGTTAAGCTAGTTTCTGTGCAGAAGTGGCATCAGAAATGAACCACAGTCTGATTATGTGGTGATGGAGAGAGAGAAGTGTTCTCCTCTGAATCCCGTAACTTTATGTACTATCTGAGAGTCCAGTTATTATATGCAGCTTTATCTTTGTTTACTCATGGCTTTGGGAGACCTCTTTTTAGTTTTTAAATCCAGAAACAGGAGTTTGCATTAGTTCAGCTCTGTGTTATGAGATTCTGGAGCAGAGGTAATTGACTGTCTTCACTTGAGCATGGTACAGCTGAATTCTTCTGGCAGCTCAGCTCGGGTACAGTTTGAGCTTCTTGATGTCTTTTTGCAGAAAGGAAGTCCAAAATAGTTTTCTGAAATTCTCTTAATTCTTCAAGTGGAGACTGTTAGCTCTCATGTTTGTTTGCCTGTGAGGATGGCTTTTGGCAGTTGTCAAGTCAGAGCAAAAGCAGCAAATATGTAGAACAAGAAAAACATGATTGTTGAATTGCCTTTGCTTAGACTGTTTCCAAGGGATATATGGCAAAATTGGAGGGTTGTTTTTGTGCTGTTCAGGTGGGATGGGAAAGATCATAATCTTCCTTTGAATATTTGTAGCATGGATTTCTGGGACCGTGAACTGGTTAGTTGAATGTTGTTTTGATGCATTCCCAGAGCTTGTTTGTGTATGTGGAGCCAGAGCCCAGCTTCAACCTTCTTTTCCTGACTATCATCTTGAAATGCTAGGACACTGTCATCTTAGGTTTTTAGAGTTTGTCTTTCTCTTTCTGGCTGTGTATTTATTTTTTTTTCTCCTTTCACTCTCTGCTGCCAGACTTTTATTCTGTGCTATCTGACCCCTATCACCTCTCCCAGCTGTCTTGCCAGTTTTCCCAGAGGTGTTTCCCCCCTGCCCACAATGATGATTTTACTGGGGTGGGACATGCAGCTCACCATACATACTACCTGTTTGAAGCCAAGATCACAGCAGTCGAATGTGAATTAGTTCCTAGTCCAGAGGCTATTCTTCTGCTTTGCAAACCTCATAAAAACACAGAATGGGAAGGGACCTCCTGATCACTGGCTCGAGATGCCTCATTAGCACATAGGTTTTCCCAGCGCTACTGTCTCTACCTGTGATCTGTGTTAAAACCTCTTTTTTTTTTTTTTTTTTTAGGGCAGGAACAGACTGAATATTTTGAAGCAGTTCCTAACTCTGGAGTTTTAACTTGAGGTGGACTTTTTGCTGCTAGTGTAGTGAATGAATCTTAGCCCAGACTGGTATTCGTATGCCTTAACCACCTAACAAACAAAATACATGAGGTTTTTGCTTGCTTCCTTGCAAAAAAAAAAAATCAAGGCATATTTAGATAAGTGCTATTTCAGTACAGGTAAGCATATCTCCGCTAGCATGTGGCTAGGCAGTAGAGGAAGCATTCCCATGGGATTTGGAGGACACAGCTGGGACTTGTAGCTGTCTCCTGTAACCCATGCTACATAGGCTGTGCTGTTGGAATAAAGTTAGCATGATATGCTTGCAGTTCTGTGGCTGTAATTTAGACACATCCTCTAAGTGTGTCTAAAGCAAAGAGCCTGTAGTTTTCTTCTTGGAGAATACTTGAAAGTGCTATTTACTGGGGATTGTAGTGGTTAAGTTTGGCTCCTGCAGTGTAGAGGCTGTTTGTCAGATGCAAATGATGGTGGTGGATGTTGCCTGAGAAAAGGTGCAAAGCCATTTTGGGCTGTTGTTTTTTTTTTTTAAGGAGGATAAAGACCGAAGTGTGTACAGCTCCGTGGCACACAGCTAATCAATCCCTGGATTGCCTGGGCGTAGGAAGCCTTGAGCACCGGCCCACCAGGTACATTGATGTTGTTATGCAGCAGCTGCAGGGCCAGTTTTGAAGTGCAAATTGAAATCCCATTTTTGTGAAATCATTGCTATTAGTTAATTGACGTCTGTTACCAGCAAGAGCAGTTTAGAGGACTGACTAATCTATCACAAATGGATTTGAAAGGGTATTTTGTAGCTTCTGCTTTGACTTGCTGGACATTCCCATCAAGACTGTAGCAATTTAAAAGCAAGTTCCAGTAGCTTTTTCTTTTTTATTGTTTGCTGAAGAAGTTTTAAGGTGCCGAAGCCATTCAAATCAGAAATGCTTAGGTTTGCTGTGCTCCCTCTGCTGGGATTTATCCCTGCTAACCTGGTGAGTGGACGCTGGTTTCTCAGGGCTATGTTGACATAACCAATAACACTACAAAGTGACCTGTCCCTCATTGATTAAAATTAAGTGGAGAAAATAGAGGATTCATGTTCTGGATGAGTCTCCATGTTTGTCAAGTGGGAGGGAACCCTGAAACTTCAAACCATCTGTAATCAGTAATGGGTGTAAAGAAGGGTTTTTTTTTTAATAAGGCATGTGTTTTGATGTGCCTCAGAGGTTCTGCTCTTACAGCCAATTTCTTAAATGCTTGGGATCTTGTTGTGTGGCACTGGGGGTGTGTGTTTTCTCTGCCTATACCCTACCCATGAATTTTGGTACATTAAAAAAATTTGTCGCTTTTCTAGTGTACTGCACAAGTAACATTTTTACTTACTTTATGTACAGTTTTCAGCTGGTTAGCCTTTTATCTGTCTTGTTTCATAAAATACTTTCTTTTATGATTCAAAATTATTTGCAGGTATCATCTTATCTGACTTTCTACTTAGGGGTAGTGGCAGTGCAGATAGCCTGAGGTTTGTTTCTGTTCCTGTTGTGTTTTGGTATGAATGTTGCTGTGCTGAAGTGTATGTTCTGACATTTGACTCTGTGGTATGAGCTTTCTTGGTGTTTTGTGCTAGCCCTTCTGTGTAACATGAAAGGATTGTAGAGCTGTGTGGTCATTTCAAATCTATGCCAGTATATTGGTCATTTATGAATTCATCTGGAAGTGAATTACATTTATTTGAAAGTCAAGATGCCATGGAGCAGGAAATTTGTTGTCATGTGCGTGTGTTGTCTTCCTTAAGGGACACTTCTTGACAGGCTAAGTACTTTCTAAGTCCAGCCAAATGGATGATGAATTCAAATTTGGCAGCTTATTGTGGGAATTGGGTCCTCTGCTTATATAAAGGCAGTACAATTAAAACCATCAACACCCTCTGTTATGTTGTCCTGTCAACATGTCTCAATTATCAGTGTGAGGATAAGCTTTTCTTTTCCCTATCCTGTATGTACTCCACCTTCTGGGGCCAGATTTGAATGTGATGGAATTAAGCACGTCACTGAATGTTGGAAAGACTTCTCTATCTTTCATCCTCCCTTGATTAAATGCCTCCGCATCGTATGTAATGCAGGAACGCATTGGGATGAAATTTGTACACGTCTTAGTGTTTCTATTATGGGCAGGAGGAAGTAATTATATTGCAGGTCTGCTCCATGTGGGCACTTAGTGGGAAGTGATGTGTTCTGGATTGTGTTGGTGTTGAGTGGAGTATAGGCTATGGAGTACTGCTGGCATGCAGATGATGCCAGGAAAAGGTTGGCATGGAAGCGTTTGAGCTTGTGAAAAGAAGAGCTGCCAAGCGAGTGGGGAGCCTCAGAGTTGAGAGCAGAGCCTAACTATATAGAGTAGTGGTGCAAGTCTCTT